AGGGTGGAATTAATACATTTTAAAATAAAAAAGAAAAGTCCCCTAATTAAATTTGCATGTTTGCACACGAGAATGCAAACCTTTCGATAAATTAATAATCTGGTGAATCACTGAATACCACTGAGACTACGCAGATGAAACTATTTTACAACTATCTTTGAGGCCTTAATTTTGACAGCCTCCAGTGGCAGGCTGCAGGTCATTACACACTTGTGTTTTTATACTAGTTTCATTTGAAAACAATGGATAAATAATTTATTGTCTGAAGTGTGCTTGACCTTTTAGTATAATTTATAGTTTTACAAAGTAAAAATTTGAACATAGTAAAGCAGTCATAGTCATAGTGCTTATTGAATTATATACTCCATGTATTACTAAACTCTATCATAACAGTAGTGTTTCTTTCCACATTAAGCAGCATCTTTCTCATGAAATACTGCTCTGAGAAGTCTTGGCAGAGCTGTGGAAAATAGTTATGTGGCTCTGGCTCAGCCTTCTCAGAAACATGTTAAGAAACCCCTCATAGAATTATCATGAGGTCTGGAACAAAGTGGACAGCTAGACATTCAACATTAAAGCATGGCTGAGCGAGACCCCTTAACAATTAACTGCAACCATACGAGCTAAATGGGCATCGTGGCCTTCCATCATTCAGCATAATTTCTATGACTTCTTTATTAGTTATTAATATAATTTATTTTTGTGACTTATCATTGTCACTCTCAGTGCTTAATTAATTTAAATTCTAATGTTTCAACTCATTAATCATGTCCTTATTCATAATTTTTTTATGGCTGAGATAGATCTTGGGTTTGCTCACAAGGAGCAGAGGGAGGAAGGCAACACTGACAGAAGGGGTATTTACTTTTCTTGGTGGAATTTAAACTTCATAACCAGAAGAAACGAGAAAATACTTTAAGCACAAAAAGGAGGACTGAAAAACATTTATACTTAAGGTCTCATAGGAAAACTTTTTCTTGTAAGTCATGGGTTCATTGTTTTGGTTGCTCTGTCACAAGACTGTGCAACATTGAAAATTGCCTAAGAGGCTATTGATGTACTCATAAAATATGCTTAGCAAGTAACTGATATTTGCAAGGCTTTAAAGGCTGTTTATTTAACAATCATCCATAATAAGTAACTAGTTTCAGTGGAGCAACATGAGATGCCTGTTAAAGAAACCTGAATTTTGAGAGGACAAAGGACAACATTTTCGACAAGTTCAAGTGGTCCAGGTACCTTCCTTCACACTCAGATACAGTACATGTTGTTATCCAATTAATTCCACATGCTGAATAGAGTGGGAATATTGTAATTGTTCTTATCCACCTGCTTGTGTATCTGCAAAATAATGTGAGAACTGTGAGATGGGTTTTCATAAACCTTTGTGGATATACATGAATAATATGAGGACCAAAGTTATGTTTTTTGGCTCTGTAGGTCAGAAAATTTTGTATTACTGCAGTGGAAACCTGTCTAATAGCATCAGATCATCATAATCATAATTGTTACTCAGATGCCTTTCCTGTCATTTGTGACGTTGGTAAAAAAAATTTTCTCTCCATATTCTGTTTTATATTTATATGTAGGATTTCAGGTATTCAGTATTTGACAAATAACACACCTTCAGTTAAAGTGTAATGTATTGCTTTTTCATCAATCTATGGGCCCTTGTTAGGTGAAAAGTATGTGAGGCAACTGTAACTGTTTCTTTAGTGCTGAGTGCGTCATACATGTACAATCATATTTGGACAGACAGATTTATATAGGGGTCTAAATGACATTGTTGAAGAAAAGAAACATGAGACATAGTTAGGATAGAGGGAATGGTATCACCTGTCAGCTGAGGTCCTTTTACAGGTGTAAATGTGAAACAGAACTTGAACCAATCCTGTTTTAGAATTGCAGAAATATGGTGTTTTAAAATTATAAATACATGTTTTTCTTTGTAGTCTAATAATCCTATTTCTTGAAAATACATATTTCATATGTATAGAAGACACATACAGTCATCATTTTTTTTTCTGAAAAGGGTGTTACATGCCATAAATGGCGCCTGGAAGCATACCACTGAAAATTATGCCTAACTGTAAATTATATGGCTTGTAGAATAAGGCTAAGTTGACAAAAGACACAAATATATTTTGTTGATTAAACAGCAGAGTTATATTACTATATTAGCTATACCGCATTAGAGAAAGGGACAATATCTAGGTTTACCCTGGGAAAAGTGAATAAAAAAAACTTTTTAACATGAAAAAGGAGTTTTCATTGTCTTGCAGTTTCCTATGATAACCCCACTCTCTTCCAAAATATTATATCTAATCCCTCTCACCCCTCAGTATTCCTTTACCTGAATTTTGCTGTTGTAAAATATTTAAAATAAATTGTATTTTCTGTGAAAAATGCTGATATTACTTCATATTATCAGTCAAGAAGCTTGCCATGAGATTCAGAAACCAAATGTCCTTTTTTAGACAGAATGTTTCAATTCCTAAAAATCCTCTAAGGTAACAAAGAATAAAACAGTGTTTCAGTTTTGTCTCAGACATCCGGACACATGTTGAGTGCAGGCATCTGAAATACAAAACTAAACACTGCATTGTCAGTGGTGTCAAAATGCATGGTTTGTGACAGTGAACTGTGTTTGACAGTGAACATTTTAACTTAGTCCTTATTTCCAAAACCTAATACTAAAACAAAAAGTCTTAACAGTAAGACTTCTAGCACAAGCCAATGCCCATCAATATTTTCCTGCTCAACTTGTCAGTCTTTTACCTCATTTTCCTGCTGTTCCTGCCCCTCAAAATGACTGAAGCCTCTAGTGGGACAGGCTGGAAGCTGCTGCTGGGCCACAGAGTTATGGGAGTCTACAGCACTCTGTTGCCATACTGTATACCCTGGGTTCTTTCAAGAAATTGCTTTATGGGATCCTTGGACTAATTAGCTACAAAGATCAAAGAGGCTAGAAGAAACCAATTGCCTCCTCACGTTTGATTGTTTCTTATGTTCTTATGTTGTTTTGCAACTGAATTGTGTGCTTTTCCCACTTTGACACTATGACACAAACTCAATAAAGTTCAGAGTTGGGATTTACTAAAAAGCAGTACTAAGCCCCTTCACACAAGAGTGAACTACACAATCAAATCAAATAATAATGGTTGCATTTATTAATTCCACCCCAAAAGATGCCAAAGTGCTTTACATACAGGTGAAGACCCATTTCATCCACCACTTGAGAGCATTATGGAGTGTGAGGCTCGACCACTGTATTGTAAATTTACTCTCCTCACATCTGGGAGATGTATCTGTCTCCCTTTGTGTATCAGTAAAATCTTTCATCCCTGCTGCAGTCTCACTCAAATTAAAATAACTCTCTAATCTCTTGTAGCACTGTTGTACTCTATTCTTGATTAATGATATTTGTCTGTTTTTGCTGTCTTTTTTTGGTGGATTTTGCTGTAAATCCCTGGTTATAATAAAGTCCAAATTGAAAATTTAATTAGATGCAAATTAAAATTGAACTTCAGCGTAGCCATTTGGCACCAACTGTCCCACTGTAAATCAACAGATATGGGAAATTACATCATCAGCTGATTTAAGGGACAATAAGAGTGACAGATTTCCCAAGTTATCTGGTACATTATCATATCCACAAAATAAAAGAAAAGATCAAAGATTAGAACCACTGGAAATCTCAACATTTAAAATGTCTGATGATTTTAATAACTAGTAATTTACTGTTCAACTGAAGCACCAACTCCCACACAAGTTGCAAAGAGATGTTGTCATATAACTTTATTTGTTTCAATTTGACAAGATCTTTAAAGTCCTTTGACTTAATTTAGGTGTCTTAAAATTTTAACTGACCGCACTTCTTATCTGTTTCTTAATGCTAGCCTCTCTTTCCTCCATTTCCTGTCAGATCACAGGTACACCTTTATCTCTTGTGCTGGGGTGGCTTTGTGGCCAGCAGAGGAATACTATTCTGTTAGGCCCCTGAGCAAGGCCCTTAACCCAACTGCTCCAGAGGCGCCGTATAAATGGCTGACCCTGCTCTCTGACCCCAAACTTCTGTCCCTGTCTGTGTGTCTCATGTGATCAAGTTGAGGTATGTGAAAAGACAAATTCCTTATCCAAGAAATTGTATATGGCCAATAAAGTGATCTTATCTTATCTTAGAGAGATAAGAGCACATTTCCTTGTCTCTGTCTCCCCTTACAGGTTTCTTCTGGTGACAGGATGGAAAAGTTGGTGGTCAACTGTCCCATCCATCCTTATTGTTCTTGCCATGAAGACAACAGAGTTTTTTAACAGCCACTGTGAAGGTTGCAGGAACATCTCACTTTATGTCTTCTTCCACACTGTCTTTGCCAGTTTGTGCAATATTTTATAACTTCACAAAAATATAACAATGGAATAAGAATAGTTCTGCCAGCCCGTTACAACTATGTTTCAACCTAAATAAATACCATCAAATATAACATGTTAGTCTTCCTCTTCTTTGCAGTTCAAACGTATTTCTTGCTTTTTAAAGAAAAACTGCCTCTTCATTTCTGGCTCATGAAGAAGGGCACACCGAAGACATATAATGGAAAATTTTTCAAAATCTGTGAAATAAGTTTAACATTTTTCTTAAATAAATACACTCAGTGCTGACCAGTGAGTTATTCCTCACACAAGCTACTAGATTACTCTGAAAGTTTCAGATGCCATAGATGTTTAATGTCTTCCTACAACTCCTTCTACAATATTGTGCTCTGTTTATTGATACAGTAGCAACAATGGAACTCCTGTTTGTGTATATACAACTCGTTCTGTCACTATAGAGCAGGATGATGCACTGAGGCAGAACAGACAATTTATACAACTTACTGATATCATAATTCAAAATGATGTCTTACATGCAAATTGTTAAGACCATGCCTACCTGTTTTGCATACAAGGGGTCAGAAAACCATTAAAATCTGACGGACGACTCATAACCACCCTGTGGACATTTGTTCAAATCAGCAAAAGACATGGTTTCGATCATTTCAGTTACCTGGATTATATTATTCTACATTGTGGGTGAGTCTAGAAAACATATTTTCTACCTTTGAATTCTCACAAAAAAAAACATAATGAACTGAAAAGACATTGCTATTAAAATGTGAGCTGTGTATTATACATTGTTATCTTCTTCCTACAGTGACGGAGGGTCAAATCACAATGACTCAGACTCTAGACATTGTCTCGGTGTCTCCTGGACAAGATGTCAATCTCCAGTGCAGTGCAAGTCAGGACATTGGCTGGGGCTTATCCTGGTACCAGCTCCAGCCTGGACACAGTCCCAAACTGCTGATTAAAGCTGGGAATGAGAGATTCGATGGGGTTCCAACTCGTTTCAGTGGCAGCAGATCTGGAACTGTCTTCACCTTCAAAATCACTGGAGTCCAGGCTGAAGATGGAGGAGATTACTATTGCCTTGGTTATAAAAGCAATCAGTTCACACAGAGATGAAAGTCTGTACAAAAACCTCCTTTAGGTCTACAGGAGCTGCTTGAACGCATCAACAGAAACCACAGGGGACTGAGGCTTAGAACAGCTGTACAGCTGGTACAGTTAGATTTGATGGGTTTCAGTGGTAGCGGATCTGGAACTGTCTTTACATTCAACATCACGGAAGTCTAAGATGTACATGTACAGATGCAGCCATTCAAAATGGGTGAGGTATTTCGCGGCATACCGCGACACGCCCACCGGGGTATCATGCGGTTCACGTGTGTCACGTGACTAACTA